ATGTATATGTATATGTATATGTATGTATCTATCTATCTATGTATCTATGTATCTATGTATTTATGTATATATATATATATATATGTATATGTATATGTATATATGTATATGTATATGTATATATATATATATGTATATATGTATATGTATATATGTATATATGTATATATGTATATGTATATATGTATATGTATGTATATATATATATACATATACATATATACATTCTATCTCGCAATTTTGCAGTCTCAAATTGATCAGAAAAATTACTGGCATATTACTTGTCATTAGATTAGTATTGATTAGGTGATTTAATAAGATAAAAACATTAATTTACATGTTAACTGAGCTGGCCTTGGTCACCTGGCTAAACAGGATTTAATTTTCCAATGGAAATTCACCAACCCGGCCAGGCCTGCAAATTACTGTCGGACATCAAAAAGTGGGCAGACACAAGTCCTGCATGTCAAGCGACTCAAGCCAGTTAAATATTTACAGCCTGCCATGTGCAGGTAACCAGATAGTCTAAACCTCTCTACAGACAACACTATCGATCTGAATAGACCTTTATGATAATTTTATTTTAATAGCGTAGCTAAATAAACAACAAATATTACTGTCTTTCCAATTGAAGTGTTACTCAAATATTGATTCAATGCATTACCTCAGGTTGACATATTCATTTCATCAAGTTCCTTGAGATATTCGTATACCTGTGAAAGTGCCAATTCCAAGAATTTGATCATTTCTGGTCACTTCCTTTCTATTTATGATTGGTTAGTTGCACAAATAACATAGGTGATTGGTGCATTCAAACTATTCAACAGGAAGTTTACAATTACACTAGGAAGTGTATGAATATCTCGAGGAACTTGGTGAAATGAATTGGTCAGCCCAAGGTAATGTATAGAATCAATATTTGAGGAACACTTCAATTGGAACGACAGTAATTTATTAGCATATGGCAGAGAATCTGTAACAGCACAAGCCAATTACTGTGGCCGCTTTAGAACTTAACAGCAACAAACATGATAATATAGGAACAAGTTGTTTTCTTGTCCTCAGAGGCAACTCGTAAGATAATGTCACAACATAGATATCTTATATACACTAGATAGCCCATCTATTTTAGTAAAATTGAAGCCAAGAATATTCCAGCGGTTACCCCCATTTGAATAGATGGCGGCCATGTTGGTCGTTCCCACTTCCTAATAAACGCTTAAAAACAACAATAATTTTCATCATTTGAATAGTTTAAAAACGTTTTTGGAATAGGGTTAACTTCATGTTTAAGTTCCGTGTTTAAGAAATAGAAAATATACGAATCTTCTCATTTCATGGGAACGACCTGAGTCTGCAATCACGGCTTCAATTTTTGAATTGCAGAATAATTAGATGCACTATCTAGTGTATATAAGATATCTATGTGTCACAACCACACTGTAAGGTACTAGCACTTGTAGTTGTCATTGTGATGTAATTACCAGAAAGGTTTATTAGTACGTGAGTTCTTTGTAGGTTTGCATGGTGATAAAACAAATACTTTTAAGAAAACTACTTTTTGTTTGTGGAAACAAATCATAAATTTATTACTGCAATAACAAAAAAATTTTGCAGTATTAAATTTATGTGGTGTTTACACAAACAAAAAGTATTATAGGTTTATTAGTATTGTTTCGGATAACTACCGGTAGTTATTTGACTCATTTCTTAAATTAGATGTATTTATTACTCGCTGGGTTCATGTAAATAGTCTCTGAGATATGTGCACTGCAGCTTGTTTAATTTGTGACTTTGTTGCATATGTTGCACTATACAATCTCGAACCCAGAGCAATGCCTGTGTGTGAGCTAGGAAGGCATTGGCTCTGGTGAAATTGACAACCGGAACCCCTAAATTTAGGGGTTCCGGTTCTTTGTCAGCATGCACGATTGTTAATCGTTAAACCAATCACAGCGCAGGAAAAATTCAATTTCCCCAGAGCCAATGCCATCCTAACCCCGCACACAGGCATCACTCTGGGTCTGAGATGGTGCACTATGCACCTAAAAAAGTATAATCCTTGCAGAGATATTTACTAACTTTTGTGAATATTTTATTTTAAATTTTTTCAGCCTTCAAAGAAGCTTAAAAAGATCAGTGTGCCATCAAATTCTTCAATGGCAGCAATTCACATTCAACAATTGAAGGAAAAGATTTCCAAAGAGAAGCAATTGCAAGTATGTATTAGAATCTTATAATTACTGCAGTACATTGTCCCTTGATTCAGATCAAGGTAGATGACCATCTATAGACAATGTACTTTAATCCTTTACTGGTTTTGAATGTACACACAGTAACACCCATAAAGCAATTTATGGCAGTACTTAGCTACCACTGATGAGTAGAGTCTCCTGGCATGGCATGTAGACAGAGTAAATACTACAGTACAGTGTGTTGCCAGGTAACCCTTTAAGTGGCAATGTTCCCAGACGTGCCCTACTTTGTTATTGTACTAGCTTTGTCTAACACCAGTTGATTTTATTTGTCAGTGGAGTTCTGCCACTCAATGGGTTAATCAGACTATCTGCCCATGCACATTACTTTGTAATTTTATTCTGTCTAACACCAGATGATTTTACATGTCAGGGGAGGAGTGCTGCCACTCAATCATCTATGCACTCAATGGGTTAATGAGTTAATGAGTTAAAAATTTCACCAGTATAACAGTACCTTCACTATTAATTCCTATACCTCAGATTAGCAACAGTGTAAGATTTGGGAATTATGTCTTTTTATTGTGTATATAAACTGAAATATGTAATCAATAACTACTTTATGTTTAAAGATTCATTCTAGCAGTGAATCGGAATGCAGTGGCTCTGACAACAACTTGAGCAGCTCTGACAGTGAGTTGGATGCAAGAGACATCATTGCTTCAAAGGACAAGGAGATAAAAAAATTAAAAAGAACTATCAACAGTACGAGAGGTATAAAATAATATATATCAAGTATGCCATGGTTTTGTTATGTAGATACACAACATGAGAAGTAGTTGTGAGGAGTGGGTGATTCGATCAACTACCTGAACATAAAAAACAAATTCTTAGATGTTTCAAGTGAATTAAGGCCCTTTGTCAAGACGTTAGTGACTTCTTATATAACAAAGGGCTTTTGCTAAAAAGATGGAATAATTTGTTTTCAATTTTCATGTAGTTGAATCACCAACTGTATAGATGGTGTTCTCTTAAGAGAATAATTTGTGTGACTTCTTTATTTTAATTTAATTTTTATGTAGATGTGAGCACACTACACAATGCATTCCAAGACCTGAAAAAAACTGTCCTATCACTTCAAAGGACTGTAGAGGAGAACTGTGTGGGCACAAGGCCACTAAGTGAAACAAAGATGCCCACTACACCTGTAACTCAAGTTAAACCTGAGAGACACCTGAAGAAACCTGTGATTTCATCACCTGTTCCTCAATGTGAAACAAAGGCACATTCTTCCCCATCCAACAGTTCAGATAGTGAAGTGGATAAATTATCTTTACTGACCAACAAAAGCAACAAATGTTGGTGTTCAAACAAAAAAAAGCATGAAACTGCATCAACCCACCATTTTATTTCCAAACAAATACCTTCACTCTCTTTTTCTAAGTCACAAATGTAATGGTTGATGCAATTGTAATAAGTTTAGTTATGTATTTTCTTTTTAGGTATTTCTTTGCCCTTCCATCCAAGTCACAAAAGGACAAATGGGGCTGTTGAAAACCAAGTTGACAGCCAAGGATTTCATCTACAGTTTGATGCCCATGCTATGGAGCAGAGAGGTGTTAAGCACACATTCTGTCACTGGGCGCACTTCAAATGCGCACAAAGACAAAAAGCCAAAGCCGCAACTTTTCATGGACAACGAGAAAATTGAAAATATTTGTTGTAAGTATAAAATAATATAATTATATTAAGTAGACCCAAGTGGCAATGCAACCCCACTTTATTATTTAATTCTGTCTAATGCCTGGCTATATGTTACTCTAATGCCATAGGAGGATAGGGCTGCCACTCAATGTGCTTTTCAGACTATCTACAATACATGCCCATGCACCCTGTTAACCTTCTTAAGTGCATGGCAATGCACCCTACTTTATTATTTCACTCTGTCTAATACCAGACAATTTTACTTGTCAGGAGGAGAGTGCTACCATTCTGAAAAAGGTTAATTGATTTGTCAACCAAGATACTGTATAAAATACTTTTGATAGCTGCACAATGTGTGAATTAATGCACTTGAAGTGCATATGGTTCATTACACTTGAATGGTTAAAATGCACATAAATATGTGGACAAATTCGTTACAATTGTAGTTAATTGCTTTGTTTACAAACTGGCTTGTGAATATGAAATTATCCTATTAAATTATCCTGTTATAAAGACGTGTTGCCTAGTGGGAAGATTTGCCATCAGGCCTCCACAACAGGCACCTTTTTTATAGCAACAAGATGTCATCTATGAAGTATGAACCATGCTCTAATTGTCTTTACTTTATTTCCCCTTCAAATTTTGTATCAAAGAAATATGGCTGCAAAGTGATGAAAACTGAATAATTTATTTGAACACAAAACAAGTAGATAGAGAAGACACTCCCATAATTATTTATTATATATATTAAATGTCTGTTTGTTTCTTAATTTATTTATTAAAACCTTGTTTATTAATAAAACCTTATTTATTTATGTCTTGACATATTACAGTGATGCATACATTGATTATCATTTTATATTATGATCTAGTAATTTCTAAAATTTCATATTAAAATTCCACTGGAATATGATTTCCTCATTTCTTGTAAGATTCCTTTTGTATGACGCGCGAAAGCGGACAAAATTACTTTTCCGAAATATATATGACGTCAACATCGAATATAAAACATCAATACAAATATAGTAGGAATTACCATATATGTATGTGCTAATTCTTAAATATAAAACATGTTCTCAAATATATATATATCATCTTTCGTAAATATAAACAGTGTTGCCGATTATTTAACGTCTTCTCTCATATATATAAACAGTATTGGAATATATAAATCACATCACATATATAAACAATGTTCCCATATATAAATCACCTTGCATGCCAAATATATAAAGTGTGGTTACACAGCATTCGCTTTAACCGAATTACATGAAGTACTAGTTAAACCAACAGGCGCCCATTGGCGCCTTTTCAATTCCACTCGAAGTTGAGTTTGAGTGGTCATGGCCGACAAGCACATGCAAATTTTGGCCAATTTAATAAAAGCAGTTACCAATGTTGCTGATCGTGGCACATCACAGGAATCGAATATCGAGGGATCGGAGGGAAGTAGTTCAGTTAGTGTAGAGGAAACAATAAAGCGGTTGTTTCCATCGACAGAGGGTGGTCAAGGTGCAAACGCCACAAAAAATACAGTGCTAGGAGAGCGCGCCGTGGAACAGGAAAGGAATGAAAATCCTGATAGTTCCTAAATTGTGTTCCAAAAGGAGTTGCACGTGAAGAACTTTATGTGCGGGGATTTACAACAACTTTCGAACTGACTTCGTCAATGACCGAGGAAGAGATACGGTGTATCTTAGAGGAAAAATTGAAAGATAAACTTTGTAATATAGCAGGATTGAAGTTTATTTTCGTACGAGCAGTATGCAACAAAATAATCGTTCCTAGTATGTCCAAAACGGAAAGCTTCGATGGTCGGATGGTAAAGCATTTTGCAGGACAAGGGCCAATTTACATTAGAGCCCTGAGAGATATCAGTTCTGCACTTATGAAAGGTCACTGGAAAAGAATAGAACCTGATTGTAGTGCCAGTGATGATGAGAGTGATGACAATGCAAGTGTGAAATCACCTGTACACGAACCATGTACTGGACCATTACACCCCCCAAGCCCAGACATATCTACCACAAGACTGTCATCAGAGCCATCGACATCTGCTACAAATGAACCTAGCTGCTCTAGAAATCTTATTGCATGTCCCACATGCCATAATGCTTTCCCTGCTGGTGAGATAGAACTGCATGCAGATGCTTGTGCTGAGGAGAAATATGGAAGTGTCAATGAAAATCAGTACAATAATATAATGGAAGAATTTGATGATATTTATGAAATTGAGAATACAAGCCATGTGGAAACACCAACTATCAATGTTTATGACAATGATGAAATTCCTAATGATGACATTCTCACGCCTGAAAATCACAAACAAAAAATAAAGGATGCAATTTACAGGTTAAATAAACTTGTACCTGATAAACAGAACAAATATCACATCAGAAGAAAAACAATCTTTGATGATTATGTCAACGCACGTGTACGCAGCAAATGGATGCAGCCAGAAAACAAGATCAGAGTTACTTTTGTAGGAGAAAAAGGGATAGACGGTGGTGGGCCAAAGAGAGAATTCTTATCAGGTAACATTTGGTTAATTATGTT